AATCAGAAGTTATGAATTTTGAAATTCGTGTGCAAAAACTTTCTGGACGACCTAATAAGAGCGAGGTGGAGCAAGTTAATAGTAAAAAATGTGCTGTGGATTGACATCGTTATCAGCACTAACGGGAACGTGAGCGAAGGCGCCTATTTGAGCGTGCTTATCGTTGTTATATGTTTATGTTGTTTTTTTTTGGTAAAAAATGCGCTTTTGATTGACAGTTATGCCATCATTGTTAGCACACACTCAAAAAACTATGGGAGATTGGTGAATTTTTACACCTCCACACAAAACCCGCCCATTTCTGGAATCTATACTCTGTAAACCTAGTGCTGAAGAAGGTCACTTTCGTGAAAACGCTCTAGACTCATCTTACCTGATTTGTAGAGAATGGTTGGCTTCAATGAATTAAAAACTCTAAGACATTCAGAAGAATAACATGTTATTAAAATATTCTTCAATGTTTTGGAAAGGTTGGCAGTTTGAAGAGGAAACGGCAGGCAGAATACTTTACAAAATCGCAGATGAGCATGTGTTTCAGTTCAACAGCGAGGCAGAAGGAGAATCTTACGCCGACGAAAATGTTGTCGACATTGATACAGGGTTGGCAATTAAGCGAAGCTCTCTGATTTCCTGCATAAGGAATCCAAGCAGATTGTCTAGTTTCAATGAGGAAATGTTCAGGAAGTCCATTGCTGATCTTCAGGTTGCTGAAGAATTCAAGGCTGCTAAATTCACAAACATGGATATGAACAAAAGGAAGGTGTTAGTACAAAGCATAGTTACTGCGCTTAGATCCCGGCTGGAGTGCGAACCCAACTCTGTGCTTTATGCTTTTGAAAGTTATTCGCCTTGTGACAATATGACCTATGATATTGAAAAAAAAAAACCAACGCGCAGCATAGTACCTCGTTTTTTCGGCTATTCCGCAGATGCTGTTGAAGAAGAAGTTGAGCAGCTTTCTAATCAGCTAACAGGACGTATGCCAGAGGAGATGAAGCCAGAGTTCGACAAGGCCCAAAAGTACACTATTTCCTTCCCGTGTTGCGGAAGCATATGAGATCTGGCTCTTTTCCCATTACTTACCGCAAAAATCTGATGGACCTACTAGCAAAGCTAGTTTCCATTCCGACTAGCACGGCAGAGGTGGAGAAAGAAATTTTCTATCTACTCTGTTATCAGAACACAACGCAGAAGTCGTACAACGATAGAGCATCTAAGCAAATACTTAAGATTTGTCAACCTTCTACTAAACACATTGTTATCTAAAAACTTCATTTAAAGGACTGGTATAAGTGGTCCAGACAGGCTGTTACCGTATGACTTTTTGAAATATCCTAAAAGAAGGTACGAAGAAATTGGTCACCTACCTGCTGACTTCCTGGTGCTACCAGAGGGCCAGGAAAAAATTCACAAAAGCGCTTAAAAGAAGAAGAAAGTTTCAAATCCATTTTCGACTCAGAACGCTTTTGCACGCAATTCTACTTCTACTCCGATGACCTTTTGGAGGAAGAAGAAGATTTTTCAGGCAGCGAACTTGTTGTCTCTGACGTTAGCGATAGTGATATTGTTGATGATGATGTGCAGGAAATGAAGTTGTTCCTAACTTGTACATCTTTTGGGATAAACATTATTGCTTTCGTTTTCTTGTTGATGCAGTGAAACAGGAGCACAGATCTTCATAATCAATTTTTTTTTAATTTTTTAATTTCTCTTGAAAATTTTTAATTTTTTTTCAATTTGTGCCTAAATAAGGTGCAAATTAGAGCTCTTCATACCACGCTTTTTTAACTTTTCTCTCTTCCTCCTCCCCCCCCCCCCTAGACTCACATACCCCCTTCACCCTGGAAGGTCGGGAACAGCCGAGACCCCCTTCACCTGGGGAGAGCCCGGCTCCCCCTATCGCACCTATGATGCCCATCGTAACTCAAGAAAATGGCGACACCTTGCGAAATTGATATGATGTACATGCTCAGCGTGCTGAATAACACCTCTTATCCAGATACCAGCTAAATCTACGTTTTTGACCTCTTGCCATGCACCTACCGTAACCGTACAGAGACGCTCTCGTGCGAAACAAATGTGATGTTCGTGAACAGCATGTCGAATAACCCCTCCGCAGGTTTTAGCAAGATCTGAGGTTTTGACTCCATACCGCATGCCTACCGTCCCCTCAAAAAAGGCCCTATCACACGAAACGAATACCATTTTCGTGGTCACCATGTCAAATAACTCCTCTGTACAGAGTTTTAGCAAGATCTGAGGTTTTTGACCCATACCGTATGCCTACCGTAACACTTCAAAAAAGCACTACCACACGAACGAATTCCATTTCGTGGTCAGCATGTCAAGTAACCCCTCTGCACAGAGTTTGAGCAATATCTGAGGTTTTTTGACCCCATACCGTCTGCCTACCAAAAGGCACTACCATGCGAGACGAATCTCATTTTCGTGGTCAGCATGTCAATGACCCCTCTGCACAGAGCTTGAGCAAAATCTGAGATTGACCCCATACAGTATGCCTAACGTAACCCCTCAAAAAAGGCACTATCACACGAAACGAATACCATTGTCGTGGTCAGCATGTCAAATAACCCCTGCACAGAGTTTCAGCAAGATCTGAGGTTTTTAACTCCATACCGTATGCCTACCGTAACTCTTCAAAAAAGCACTGCCACACGAAACGAATCCCATTTTCGTGGTCACCATGTCAAATAACTCCTCTGTACAGAGTTTCAGCAAGATCTGAGGTTTTTAACTCCATACCGTATGCCTACCGTAACTCTTCAAAAAAGCACTGCCACATGAAACGAATCCCATTTCGTGGTCAGCATGTCAGGTAACCCCTCTGCACAGAGTTTGAGCAATATCTGAGGTTTTTTGACCCCATACCGTCTGCCTACCAAAAGGCACTATCATGAGGGACGAATCTCATTTTCGTGGTCAGCATGTCAATGACCCCTCTGCACATTCAACAAGATTTGAGGTTTTTGACCCCATACCTTGTGCCTACCAAAAGGCACTACCATGTGAGACGAATCTCATTTCCGTGGTCAGCATGTCAATGACCCCTCTGCACAGAGCTTAAGCAAAATCTGAGGTTGACCCCATACAGTATGCCTAACGTAACCCCTCAAAAAAAAGCACTATCACACAAAACGAATCTCATTTTCGTAGCCAGCATGTCGAATGGTCCCTATAAACAAAGTTTTGGCAAAATCCAAGGTTTTTCATTTGTAAGTTGTGAATTCTGGAATACGCCACAGGAAGGTTAAACAAGAAAGAAGGAGGAAAAAGCTAAATGCGACAGCAATGGACGCAACATCACCGAAGTTCATGATCAGACAACGCCTAGGCGGGAATAAAAGCAAGCAAGACTGCTTGCCTCGCAACCTAACTCTCTTCATAAAGCTATAAGTATATTGAAAGAAAGGTGACCTTGAGCGCGCCAGCCTCAGTTCGTGAAGTAGTGTTCTTCAGGTCGTCTTTGTGCGTGCACAAGCCACAGATAAGCCACTTGCTTGTATGAGGTGTAATCACGCTAACAGGCGTAACAGTGGCGTTATCAAATATCTGGGCGAGGAATATCTTGCTGAGATGCATCTGAAATATGAGCGTATTTACTATACGAAGAGATGGGAACAGATCAAGAAACAACTGACATGTGCTCTCGTTCGCAGTTGAGGTTGGGCTCCAAGGTACGGAGTAGGATTGGGTGGATATGAAACCATGAAATGTGTCCTAGAGATAGATGATGAAGGCCAAAACTGCTGTCA